CTGTGTGATCTAAAGGATGTGTTAGGAAACTTCTCCCCGACAGGAGACGGTCGTACACTCAGGTCAGTAACGAGCTGTCGGACATGATTGAAATATATTAGTTTAATTAAAGTATAGCGCCGTCGTGCGAGCAGTGAAACTCATGTTGTTACTTCTTAAATTTATAGGAATTTAAGGAAAAGCAATAAAACCCCCTGCAGGATGAAATGATCAGGGCAACGACAGCAGCGGAAAGAAAACTTTGTTTTTAAGAGCGCTTGAGTTAAAACACTTCTTTGATATCTCCCCCCGCCCCTCACTCCCCCACCCCCCCTCTGTCGCTCTTCTCTCCCACTGTGTCTCTCTTCCCTCCTTTCTCTCTCTCTCTGTCTGCCTCTCTCTACTTCCTGTCTACATCAATGACCTTATAAGGAATTATGAGGCTCTAACAGCAGACACATGTTTATCCAGATGTTTTCCCCTGAAGGAAAACACACACACACACACAAACACACACACACACACACATTCATATACTAATCCACAGCTGGCCTCTTAACTGGACCTGAGTCCACATCAGAACTGAACCAGGTTCTAATGCAAACAGGAAGCAGAGAGGAATGTGTGGAATTCAGCCCCTCATCCTTGATCCCCGATGTTGCCCCGACTCCCCCGGGGGGTGGCTAACCAATTAAAAGCCCAAATGTTGTTGGTTCGGTTGTAGTTTGCTTGTTTACCTGCAGGTGGCTGACGATGCAGAAGGGTTCTGGTCGGTTCAGACCGCAGGTGGAGGTGGACGACAGCTGATGAGCTCGTCCAATAAGAAGGTCTCCTGTGGCTGGGTAACAACTGCCCTCGGTGCAGACGTCACTGAATTCAGGTATGATGATGTCATCAGAGACCCCGCCTTCCTGGGTCCATGTACACACCTGCAGAGCTGAGGAGGGTGGAGATTATTAACCACCTAACTTCACTTAGTTAAGGATAGTTTAAGATGAAGCTAGTTTTAGTTCAGGTTAACTTTAACACAAAACCTGAGCTACGATCTAATCTGAGGCATTCTATTCTAATTAAACCCAAACCTGATCTAATCTGAGTTAATCTTAATCCACTCTCATCTAATCTGGTCAACCATGATTCCTCCAGTTTTTCAAATTTAAACCATTCTACTTTCATATAAAATACCTCATTAACTCATTAACCACAGCATGTCATCTAATCGAATTAAACTTCAGTCGAATTAAACTCGTTTCGTGCGTGATTTAATTGGTCGATGTTTTCACCTCCACGTCATATTTGTTACATATTTCCATGAAATCCACTCGACATCATTAAAATCTCACGTTAAAGCGGTTTCAACCGGTCACCTTTTCCTGACGTCACAATCTCTGGCAGGAAAGTCAGAACTTCATGCGCGAACACGTCGAAACCAGGCGCGTGCGTAATACAAAAAAATCGAATTGATATATTTACTTATTAATCAAGTTAATTAATCGAGAATAGACTTATCGATTATGTGATTCATCTTCTTTCTTTGGTGTTTATGAGATTCGCATAGTAACGCGTGACGTCACCAACCCCCCAAAGTTTGTTCTTTGTTTTAAAAAGTTAAAGTGAACTCACCAAACAGCAGCAGCAGCTGAAACAGAACCATGGTCAGAACCAAGACCTGCAGAACCACAGCACAGACTGAGAACCAGGACCCTGTAGAGATCAGGTCCTGTTGAAAACCTGGTCTGCAGCAGACTGACAATGGGCTGACCGCTGTGTTCACCTCTGGACTTTCACAATAAAAGCCCTCGGAGGTAGAGGAGATTTTGTGTTTTTTTTTATTCTTCTTGATGTTGTTTTGCGACTACAAATAAAAATGTCGACATGTCCTTAGGTCGGTATGGTAGGGGGCGCCACCCATCTGCTCCTGCTCATACATTAAGTGAAGAATAAAAAACTTAGGACGGATAGTTTGGAGCTTTTATGTTAAAATGTATCCAACTTCCGGTTTCTCACCTTCTCTTACAACTAAGTAAATCTGTGTTTGTCAAGAAGTGAAAGGTCAAACACAGGCTGAGCTTCAACTCTAGATTTATACACATTTCTTCGATTGATTTTTAATCAAACACACACACACACACACACACACACACACAGACACATACTTGGCCCCTTAGGACATTACAAAGACATTCCTGACTCCTGACACCCCTAATCCCCCCCCACTTACACACACACACACACACACACATAGAACCCTCCCCCACTTTAATCCTCACCTGCTACAACAAAGAACTGTGTGTGTGTGTGTGTGTATGTGTTTATAATGTTTGTCCTAACACATGTGATCTGTGCTCTGATTGGTCCAAAGCTTGTCTCTGCAGGTTACAACACATGCACTCACAATTAACACACAGACACAAACACAGACACAGACACAGACACAGACACAGACACAGACACAGACACAGACACAGACACACTCACTGTCTCCATCAATCCAACAAAAAACCCGATGGAGAAAATCTTGGATTTTGGCTCAGAGAGAAACAGCAACTGTTGAACCAAGATCAAATATCATGTGTAACTTCACTGTTTACAACACTTTTTATAAACTTCCCTCATCAACAAACACTGACCACAAATGTCCCTGTGACCCTGTGACCCCGCGAGCTAAAATCACTGATTTTCTCTACGGACTTTGGTCTGAACTAACTACTAACTACTTTTACTTAAGTACATTTTGACTCAACTATTTTACTTCGACACAATCCACACATGTGAACTTCCCACTAGGTTAATGTCGCCAGAGAACGTTGACTGAGTGATTTTTTTTTTAATTTTTTTTTGGTGGAGTAGATTACAATGTGGGTACTTGTACTTTTACTTGAGTACAATGTAAGACAATTTAATGTAATAATTTTAGTAATTAATTTTGTGCGTAGTTAAGTCCGATTGTACAAAATGAGTTGTTCATTTAAGCAGTGACTATGATAAAGGCTAAGCTGATGGTATCAGTTCCCCCTAGTGGCAGCAGAGTCGTGTCTACAACAGGGTAGAAATTTTTTTGTTTTAGCAATTTTGGAAAAAAGCTCTATCTACTGGTCAAATAACTTTATTCTTTATATGTCAGATGAAAAACATTTGTAGACAAGTGTATTAAGGAGCAGTACTGAGTAGTATTGTAAAGTACTCTTTAGGTACAGCTGGCATACTTCTCAGCACGCTCGGAGATCTCTTCCTGAAGCGTCTCCACCGTTTTCAGAAGCTCAGAAAGTTCCGACAGCTTCTTTTGCTTTTCTTCCATCTGCCCCTTGACCTTGTGGTCCAGATCTGCAGACCCAGGTGGTACAGGTGGTACAGATTACTGCAGTACTCCACACCCATCTGTCCGTTCTGCTCAAAAATGTCTTACCTTGTATCTGGACCAGCTTGTCCTCTACCAGCTTCCTCATGTTCTCCGCCTCTTCCTTTATTTTCCTCACACGTTCTTCAGCTTCACCCGGAACAACTCCAGTGGAGTTCTTCAGTTTTAGAACCTCAAACAACTTCAACACGTCCTCCAGATCCTGCAGCAGAGGACGACTGCTCCGTCAAACGTCTGTGTGGTTCTGTGACGTTCCTAATGTGCGTCCAGATGTTTGTCCTACCGTGTCTGTAGAGTTCAGCGCCGCGTCAGCCGTCTGCAGAGCTTCGTCAGCCACGTCTCTGTTCTGCTGAGTCTTCTTCTTCAGAAGTTCAACCTCCTTCCTCAGATCTTCAGGACGATCTGTCATCAGCTTCACCTCTATCTTCATCACTTTATCTTTGATCTAAGAGAAGAGTCACACGATGACAGGTGTTCTCCACATGAAGTACAGTCAGATCTCAGGAGTGTTGGTCCACGGGTGATTAGATGAACGGTACAACATGACCTGGAGGAATGAGAATCTTCACAGACGTAGATGAACGCTACCTTTTGTATCCGGTCCTTGGCCTGGTCCTGGTCCTGACTGGCAGTTTCCAGGTCTTCGTTGGCCTGATCCTGGGCCCTCTCAGCATCGTAGATATCTTTTGTGACTTTCCTCACATCGATGCCTGCGATCTTCTCTCTGTACAGACCAAATAATAGCAGAAAATCTTCCAGGAGGAGACATTTTTTCTTGGTTTGGTGGGAGGTCTGGTTACTTGGTTATACTGGTCTCACTGACTTGAGTTCCTGGGCCTTCTGCAGCAGGTCCAGAGCAGCTTTGTTTTTCTGCTCCAGATCCTTGCGGTCTGGTAGATGTTTGGTGCTGGACAGAAGACGGTGGATCTCATCAATCATAGACTGAACCTGAGCAGGAGATCGTGGGAGCTGGATCCTCAGAACAGTCTGCGCCATTTTCTCAATATCTTCAGGAGGAACTGAGTCGTCTATGAGGAGACGGAATGGGGAACATGTCTTTTATTTGAAGAGAAACTTCTACATGCCTGACCTCTGACCTTTCAATGGCCTCTGACCTCTTAAATAGTCCCTGGCTCTCTGGATCAGTTCTTTGGTTTTGTTCTTCTCCTTTTCGAAGGTGCTCAGTCGTTGGTTGATTCGCTCTTGAGAATCTTTGGCCTGCTCATTGGTCTCCTTCGCTCGTTGACCTGCTCTGAGAACCTGACATAAAAGAAATGTTTCAACATTTGATTTCCCGTTTCATCTTTGTCTTTCAGCTTGGACAAAACTTTCAGCTAGGACAAAACTTACCTTGTTCCTGAAATTTTCCAGCCCAGAACTGAATAAGGAGATCTGGTTTTTGGTTTGACGAGCGGTTTCTGAAGCATTCTGACTGACAGGAAGTGCTCCATCACAGTTGGGACCTCCACATTTCCTCCTACCCAGGCCGAAACGACACAGAGCTCCACCACAACCAGAACAATCGTCGAGGGTCGGATGTCCACAGACCTGTAGGTGAACAGGAACATAGTCAGCTGGTCTGACGGCTCAGATGGGACCAGAGTCCGGTGATCCTCACCTGCCGGTTCAGGGGAACCACACTGAGATCCTTGATCTTCTTTTCCAGTGGTGTGAGGTTCTTGCACGTGCCCAGTTTCTGTTCCGCTTGCTGTCTTGTCTCTATAGAATCCTCCAGAGATTTGTGGGCGTGGTTTACTTTGTTTTCGTCTAACAGGAAATTCTTCAGAAGCTTCTTGATCTCATCCCGGAATTCTGGAACAAAGGGACGAGCGGCGATTAGCATTTGAACATCAAAAGGAATGAAGCAGATGCGCTAGCATAATCAAGTTATTGAAACCTTCCACATCTTCTTCCTTCTGGTCCAAATCTTGGATAGCCTTCTCCTTCAGGACCTTCAAAAGCTTCTTGAATTCCAACCGAATGTTCTCGATGTCCGTGTCAAGGAGCGGAGACAAGTCCACCAGGATCAGGTTTGGGTTCAGAGCGTCTTTTAACTTCCTGAGTTGAGTTGAAAAAGATTTGACTTTGGCTGCAACTTCCTATGAGTTGAAGAAGATATGACTGTGGCTGCATCTTCAGAAAAACAAAGAATCTTTAAACAAGACAACTGACCCCATTTTGGAGCAGAACTTCTCCATCTTCTCAAGGTTCTTCAGGGACAGCCGGCTCAGGTTGGTGAGCCTGTCCATCAGGGAGTGGACCTCCAGCATGCGCTGACGTTGGGGTCGGTCTCTGAGCTGCCCCTGATCAGGGCTCAGAGGAATGAAGGTCTTCATCCTTTCACCAGCTTTCTGGACGTCTGTCACACTCTCCCTCCAGAGGGCAGTGCAGGGGTGACACGGCTCACAGGCTGGAAACGCAGAGCTGTAGCTGGGAGCGCACTCATCACAGAAGATCCCCGTGACTCCAGGACGACACAGACATTCACCGGTTTCAGGGTCACATGATGGACGCAGGGTTCCTTCCAGGTTGCAGTCACACGCTGGGAAGAACATGACAAGACTGAGTACCAGCAGCACAGAGTACCAGCAGCACAGAGTACCAGCAGC